TAATGGAAACCACAGGTCTGTTTATGCTTATTTGCCACCTGAAAAATGAACAGGCACCGAACAGCCTGAAAAATGCCAATTCTCTCTGTTTTCTATTTTCACTCTACTGTTCACTGTTAGTAACAATAAATTCAGTGATATAACATTTTTGGTGGTCTATGCAAATAAAATCAAAGAAACAAAATTCACAAACAGTATAGATTAGTTCCTTCATTCTTGCTCTCTCTCAAGTCCAAAGACCTAATCTTAGGTTGACTTTCAAGATCTTGTTTAGCTTGTTTTGTCCTCAGAAATGTTCTTAGCCTGACCCATCTGTCTGTCCCATATGACCATAAAAAAGCTAAAAGACTATACTCAGGTAAGGACCAAAACTGCAGAACGTGGGGGCTAAAAAGGACCTACATCAGGCAACTTAATAACATAGGAAACTGAGGCACCCAGTATGTTTGATTAAGGGAAAAAGAAGCCTCGAAAAAGGGAAAAAAAAAAACACTTATCTGCAGAGGAAGCCAAAATGCAAAGGACCAGATCTAGATATATTTCATGTGCAAAGAACGTTGCTAAAGGAATTTGAGGTAAGAGGGGAATTGTAAATTGTCTTGATAGGTACTTTTTATATAAAACATAGTCTACCCTTGGCTAGTAGCAAAGCTAATATATATAGTTCAGTATTATCTAAATTTTAAACATTACTTTCATATATAAACTCATCTGTACAAGTTGACTCTTGAACTGCACAAGTCCATTTATACATGGATCATTTTCAATAAAAGTTACACCACATGTGCCTGCCTCTCTTGCCTCCCCATCCACCTCCCCCACCTCTTCCATCTCTGCCACTCCTGAGTCAGTAAGACCAACCCCTCCTCATCCTCCTCCTCCTCCTCAGCTGGCTCAATGTCAAGATAAGGATGAAGACCTTCAATGATGATCTGATTCACTTCCACTTAATGAATAGTAAATATATTTCCTCTTATGATTTTCTTAATAACATTTTCTTTACTCTAGTTTACTTTATCATAAGAATACAGTATATAATACATATGACATACAAAACATGTGTTAATTAACTGTTTATGTTATCAGTAAGGTTTTCAGTAAACAGGAGGCTATTAGTAAAGTTTTGGGGAGTCGAAAGTTATTCACGGATTTTCAACTGCATGGGGGTTGGTGCCCCTAATCCCTGAGTTGTTCAAGGGTCAACTGTAGTTAAAGCACAAATGATATGCATAATCCCATTAGAGAAATAAAGTGTTAATCTACAGTATTACAGAGATAAAGAGCTAAATACTAATACTGGCATTCTACAGGTAGTAGGTTAAGGATTGATACTGATTTAGGTCCAAGACAATCAGAAGAAATTAGCTTATGTCAATAAGTTTTTTGCATTTCTTGGTTTCTATTCTATACAAAAATGTCACTCTTACATAAAAATCTTGCAAACAAATTAATAAAAACAAAAAATCCATAACTGGTTTCAATTATAGGGATGGCTGATGATAAAGGGATCTTCTCTGAAAAAATGTTTGCGGTATTAAGCTGGCATTCAACTGAGATGAATATAATGAGACTCCCATCAGAAAGGATTACATTACTGAACACTGTGTGACACACTTCGCTGGTGGAATAAATGACTACCAAACTGTAAGCAAAATAAAAAACATTTTAATGTAAG